AAAAATTTTATTTCAACGCAACGAATTCGAATAGATTAGTCAAGTCTCTGTTTATATTGCATTATTTGTCGCCAAAATTGCGTAGCTTTAATGCATACTTTTGTCTGGTTCGTCTACCAAGGTGACAGCGTGACAACAATAATAATTCTTAATGGTGGAACCATCTACGTTCATTCGGCTTGTACCGCTCTTTACAAATTATGTAAGAAGTACCATGTCTTTAAATCTTAACACTATCTGCAAACACTCGCACTTTTAAAAAATAATACTATACGAATTTAATGACAGAACTGTCAGAAAATTGACATATGTCTAATGCACTTTGATGCTCACTACACACTGAGATGAGATGAGATGAGATTTAGGCGACAATACATCCTTGACCTTGTCTAAATTCAATGTTTCAACGGAATACGAATAGGTTGTCTCCTAGAAGTATATTTTAGGTGTTTTCGCGTTTTTCTATGAACGAGAAGAGGAAAAACTTGCCCTTCAAAGCCAAGTCAAAGGTGTGACGTCGTAAAGTCCTTGTTTTCGCATTGATATAGAATCTCTAGAGCAGAGGTGCTCAAACTTATTCCATCTACTGTCCACTATGTAAATCAATAATTCTCTACCGCCTTCCGAAACTGTTTCGGAGGATGTCCATCTCGAGGGGGGAGGTATCTGTGATTGAAAATTAAAGAGCGGAGTCGTCTGCTGGATCAGCACTTCTGAGGACGTATGTCCTTACAGTTGAAGCGCGTGATAGCGATTGCCCATTGTTTGTTGCAGATTTATTTAGCGTGAATGTCAATGTAACAATTGAAGAGTGGAAGACAAAAACTATTGCGTCTACCACCCCCCAAATCAATTCATCCCCTCAATTTCCTTCAGGCTTTCACCGCCCACCACCACCCTCCTGAGCGCCATCTCTCGACCAATAGTTCAAAAATGGACCGTACGATTTTGCATAGATATATGTTGACACCTATTTCTAATCCGCCTTCTTATAAACGTTTAGATACAATTTTAAAATTATTACAGAACATTCACGGTAACCTTAACAAAACAAGGCTACCTATTGAAAGCGAAACCGTTATTACGATTACAACAAGTAAGTGTGTCTGCCGTGATGAGATCGAAAGAAACTTTCGCTACCCACCGATACCGGCGTAGCGCACCGGCAAAGTCGGCCATGTTGGCAGGACGGAGCACGGATCACTTTCCATTTTCTTCTGTGGCACAGAACACATATTATGGAGAAGCAGAGACCTGCGCGCAGCAACTGTTCCAACGCCTACTTCGACGTCGACGGCATGGTCTTGACCCACTGGCCATGGCCTACTTGATGGACCGACCGACTCGCCTCCACGCAACGGCCCCAGAAACGGCAACGTCGCATACTAGATGCTGCTATGTTGGTCTAGCCCGGATAGATACGAGGCGTGGCCGAAGATTCGTCTAGAATCTAGAAGATTCATCCGAAATCGTGTACACTTTGTTGGTCAAATGGGCTTCACTATCAATTATCATTTGGTCTGTGACAGAAGTGTCACCGTTTTGACCATGGTGTATGTAGTTGTAGAATAGTTGATGGTACGATGGTGGCCAAAATACAACAGGAGTTCAACGCTACGGCATTTTAATCTGTGATTTGGAGGGGTAGCAAGCCAAATCTCACATTACAACATGAAGTATTTTACTGATCACTATGGCTAGTTTCGCCCTTTCTCTCTTAGCAAAAAAAGATATTTTTTAATCAAAATATAATTATTTTTTGTAGCAATATTGTAGTTTGTGATTTGGAGGGGCACCAAGTCACATTACACTTTTTTACCTGTGGCGATACAACTGATTTCGAACTTTTTTCTAATTACCTGATCATTTGGCGAAATAGTATTGTATAATGTTGAAATGGTGGTGGTGTTCAGGTGTGCTATGCAGGTTTGGTAGTACTTTTCAACTTAGTGAGTTAGTGCATCACTGGGTCTTAGGTTTTTAGCTATTTTTAGTAGGGAATTCTTGACGTCTTGTTCAACTGTCGTACAACCCACGGATTCAGAAACACTTAGCAACAAAAATTCCATTTATCTACATTTTTGAAAACATGCGAATTTTTCTGTTGTGTCATTATTGATCGATATTTTATGTCATGTGTTTGATTGATTAGAATAAATTATTTATTTGTTGCCACTATTTTGGAAGTTTAACATAAAATACCTACAAACGTCTACGAAAGTATATAGTTTGTAGAGACTTTAAAATGTCATTATATTCAAGGCAATGCTAGCCTTCCAGTTACCATTTCAATTATTCTACGCTGCACTCATGTAATACCTGACTGATTTATTATAATTTAATAATTAGAAGACTTATCGAATTACCATTTCTATTTGATTATAATTAGCAACTATGCACTAATAAATAATATACCTGAGTGATCTACAAGGGTATGTACTCAGAAAGTAATAATGAATTACAATTTTCAGCACCTGAATGCGTTTTGATTAATAAGCTCATTACAGTTAGTTTCTTGAAAATACAGGAAAATCCTTCAGAGAAAAGTCCTTGCTGGATTAATAACAATAATAAATATTGATGATAAAAAATCTGGAGATAATCGAATCTCATTTACAGTTTAATCAAGAAAACTGTATATCAAAACGCTTCTATGCAATTCAATCTCACGAGGCGGGATAAAAAGCAGTGAGTCATACTACATTAAGTAATAAGAATCTTGTTGACTTTAGAGGTATTGCAAATTATTATTTATATTTTTTCAGAATATGTTTTTTGTTTTTGATTCAGTCTCATAATAATACATGAAAATAATAAGTATGGGAAACATGAATCAAAAAGCATTGATTTCGTTACAATTGGGGAAAAACGATAGCCATTGAGTTAAATTTAAAAGCTGTGTAGCCTTGCAGTTGCTTAAGATCTTTGTAAATTCTCTAGCGTAGTGATTTTCCTACCACTAGAGACAGCGACGGATACCCCGAAATATCAGACTAACAAAAAATTTCATGTTTTTTATTTGCGACGACCCCCCTCCCGCTCTTCAATTTTTATTCTGCGGTACCCTCCCCCCCCCTCGAGACGGACATCCTATGAACCCTGAACTCCTTCCGGTACTTCTTTCGTATGGAGCCTCCCCCCCCCCCCCCTTATGAAAATATTTTCTAGATCCGCCCCTGATTGGAAATGTTCTAACTTAAATAGAATCGGCCTTTTTCGCAACATATCTTGTGTGCCAGGTGTTAGAGAATATTGTCAGGAAAGTCTAGTTGTTATGTCTAATCTAGATTAACTACACTGTCCAGTTACCATGCCTTTTCATGCAAATTCCAAGTTCTTGAGACTTGGAACCTCAAAACGAAACAAAAAGCGTACTGTTGTCATTACCAAGTAGCGTAATGGAAACAACATTGCTTTGCCGTCGGATAAAAAGAGAAAATATGTACAGCTACTTGGTAGTACATGAAAGAGTGAAAATCCAAGTAGTAGTAAAGGATTATGTAAAGCCAATAAATCGAAAGTGAAAACGAAGCGTGCATTTAGGTCAAGTTCGTTCGGACCGAGTTTTGCTTTTGTTTAAACAATCTGAAGAGGATGAATCACTTTTACAAATAGTAGGTTATGTGTGTTTTCAGGGCCGGCATAGACATTGCATGCCTAATGTCGTTAGATTTTGCCGGTAGACCCAATAAACATGTGTGTACACACTTTGTGGCCAACATACTATTAATACAATGCTTAAGATAATGCTACTGGAATTTCATAATTTATTTTATTATTCCTTGTACACTGGTTACCTCTTTCTGTTTCTTTCAATCGTTTATTATGACTCACACATGATACTTCCAACCGAACTTTATTTGTCATATTCCGAGTCTTTATGTCAAATTGTGATATTAGCAACTATGCTACTGCAACTATGTAAGAACTATCTTACTAGCTGTCAATGGTTGGCATTACCCTGACTGCTGATCCGATCGATTTTTTCCAGTTCCTCTCGTACATCCGAATCATCGACGAATATGTACAGATGCCAGTTGCTGAGCATAAACCAGCTAAATACAATCTTTATAGCCCACATTATTCCGTTTAATCTTGACTTAAAAGTATACCCATATAGTATGCAACCCACACACCATGTTAGCGAATTGCGGGTTGTGGTATTTTCAGCAACAATCAGCAGAACGACGGTTGCACAATTCCTTTATAGGTGGCGCTTGTAGCATGTGGACTTGATGACTGTAGCTAGTATCTAGTGAGAATTTTACTATTGAACGTGTCAGGTTGCGATCTGTTACATAATAGACTAATAGTTTCTTGTCGAATCAAATAGACCGTTTTAAAAGGCAAGACTTGTGAGAAAGAAAAATTCGAGTTACTACTCGAAAAAAGGTTTTCATAGCACATACTACGCAAAAGCACACTCAAAAATACTTGCCCTTTACATGAACCTTCTTTAAGGGGCAGCAACAGCTCGAAAAAATCTTATGCGGAAGGCGGAAGCTTTAATTTTTCACCTATATATATATATATATATATATAATTCAGTTGCCTTAATCAGTAGCGTTTGTTCTGATTAAAGCTACCAACTACTCTGGAGGATCTGAATGTTACAAAACCCGCATGGTTTCTTATTTCCTGTGAATATTGTTCGGAAATGTTTATTATCTCACCGTTGAATAATGCAGATATATTTCAGCAAGCCATGAATAAAAATCGAAATACTTACGTTGTTTGTAACAAACTTGTACGATACACGTGGCCATTTTTCTAGGCGAAGGCTTGTTATGGTTCTTCAAAAATGTTAATGCCTCGATTTGGAATTGCATTAAATGTCAATCTTGTTTATATTTTCGAATGCGAGCCGTACACAGCACTTTATTATGTTCGCCAGTAGCGCAGCTTGTCATGAATCGCACTCACCAGAACAGTGTGTCCAAGTATGCTTAGATGAGATTTTTTTGTGGAAACATTGGCTTTATAGCTGATACTCCTTCCAGGTGGACGACCAAATGAAGTTGCTGCAGAACTCCTGGTCGGACATGTTGGTGTTGGATCATCTGCACCAGCGGATGCACAACAGCCTGCCGGACGAGACGACGTTGCACAATGGCCAGAAGTTTGACTTGCTCAGTTTGGGCCTTCTCGGTGTCCCAGCACTGGCAGAGCATTTCAACGACATCACCGCCAAGCTGCAAGAGCTTAAGTTCGACGTCAGCGATTACATCTGCATTAAGTTTATGTTGCTTCTTAATCCAGGTAGGTTTAGACAGTGTCTCGTTTCTCGAAATATCACGACCTTTCCTCCCTTTCCCCTGTTTCCCCCTATAGTCTCACGGTACCCCATGAGTGTTTAGGCCTTAGGCCTTCGAGGTAGTAGGAGTATAAAAAAAAACAACTCAAATCCGGAAAGCTCCACATCCTGAAAATTTAAAAATGCATTTTCATCTAAAAATTTTTTAGAGCAATAAATTTCAAAGTTTAGTCCATGATCCCACTGGAAAACCTTTTAAAATAACGGACACGCCGTGTTAAACAAGGTACATACTTTTTAAAACAAGTTTCTCACAAGCAAATTTAATGTTTAATTCTTACGTTTTTCGTGTGACTGATAACCAAATCACTGGGATATCTTGAAAAAAAAACAGAAAATGTATGAGCTTAGGTAAAAAATCCACTCGCAATGAAGGAATTATCAGAAAATACTTATTGTAAGGGCTTCAGCAAATACTGGTCGTGTGAAATTCGCCTAGAGCAACGAACTGCAGTGATAGAAACTGTGATTCGTTTAATGGTAACACGGATGAATATAAAATATCCATAATGATAAAACATATTGCCTTTTAGAATACCTTTCTTAGCTTCGATACTGATACAGCTTTCTTTTAGATGTTCGAGGCATCACAAATAGAAAACATGTACAAGAAGGCTTTGAGCAGGTCCAACAGGCATTACTAGAATATACGGTGACATGTTACCCACAAGTCCAGGTAAGTTCAACTTTTTGAACTATACAGGGTGTAAACCATTTAAATAATGACTATCATAACGTTTACACCCTGTATATTCTTTCTGACATACGTTTCTCGAATTGAACCCTTCAATTTCAAACAAACTTGTAAAATGCACGTTTTATGGTAGTTAAGTTACTGAAATGACTTCCTCATCTCTGCGCACTTTCTTGCCACTGCGAACAAAACACATATTCAAGTATAATTTATAATACATAGTTTTTTGTTGCTTATATGTTTTTATTCAGCATTTTGCATTTAATGACAGAGAAAAACAAAATAGCAAGCTGTAATTGTTTGCCGTTAAAGGACTGGCAAAAATAAATAGAAAATAATCAATTCAATTCATTCTCGTAATAGTGGTAGATCAATAATGTTTGTGAATCGATTACTTAGGTTGCAAGTTGAGAAATGCTGCATATTACAACAACATATCTATTAAAATGGACTACCTAGACAAACTGGCATTTTCGTTAGTTGAAATAGAGTGTTCACATCCTTTTTTCCTCCTTTCCAATCTTCTGCCTTTGTTTTTTCTGATATTGAATCTCGCTAGTCATATCACAGACACCCACTGACAAAATATTGACTCTTCGAACGCTGCGCTTGCACAGTGATTCCCCTTCCATACTAGGGCGGCCATAAATGCACAACCTAGATTTAACCTTTTTTTATTGTATTTTAAACCTTAAAATACAGTTGTACAAACACGAAGGTACAATTTATAAAATTCTTGTATAGAAAAAAAATACTAAGTAGGTACTAAAAATGTTACTCAGTATTTAAAGCAGTTCATAATAAGGGCAACAAAGATATCTTGAAAAAAATTGTAAACTCTGGTACTTATAATACATTATAATGGAAGCAATTAACAAATCCGACACAGATTTTGACAATGACTTTTTTTAACATTAACTTTCTTAAACCTCGAAACAGAATACTTAAAAAAATTACCTAAAACAACAACAAAATTGGATTTGGAAAAGACCTCTTTTTTCTGTACTATGACATATATGGTTCGGCACCCCACAAACCTAAGAACGGGCAGTAAGATGCAGATGAAACAAACCTATATTCCTCTAATCTGGACATTCTCTACTTTAATTTTGTAGGAAAAAAGTCTAGCAAAAACAACTTTCAATAAAAAATTTATATAAAACTCCAAAACGCATGTTTTTACATAAAACAGGTGAATAATAAGAGTACATACCATATTCTTGCACCTCCATATTATCACTACGTGAAAACACTAATGATTGAAATTTTAATCCACAAAAAAAATAATTTGCAATGACTCACGTCCCGGTAATTAGAAGCTGTTACTTGCGATGGATGAAAGTAAATGAGTTTGAACTAATTGCATTGTTATAATATTTATACCGTTATAAACCCATGAGTTTTTTTGATTTTTGGCCCATGGAGGAATCATTGTGCTTTGCTTTAACTTGAAAGCTTACACTTATGGTCGTATGCATCGTCATCATAGTCGTCTATTTGAGTACTGTTTATATCGATAACTTCCTACGCACTGAATTGAAAGGGCTCCTAAGTTGTTCCCAAAATTTAGCAACCTAAATCGTCGACTTAAAATCCTAAAACCGGCCAAGATGTTGATGTTGCATGTTTCACTTGCCAAAACAAATACGTCACGGAATTTGAAGATTTACATCAAAAATGATATTGCAGAAGAATCTACAAACGAAAACATTATTTTGACAAGATTGAACCTTTACGATTCAAATTGGAAGACAACCACTGTCGAAATTTTATGTTCAAGAAATTCGAAGTTCATCAAAGCGTTTCGTTGCCAATAATGTTGAAAGACTAACAATAAATATAAAAATATTTGCTTCACTTTGTTCAAGTTACTGTGAAAAAGTTCATGGGAGGTTTCTGTGTGATTTAGACTTAGGAAAAATATAGCCCTACAAAGTGTATTTATTAATAGATGATAAATGTATAAAATACCTCATACTGTTTGTAGAATTGTTGATAAACTTCCAAGTCATAGTTTCCTAACTTGCAAGTTAACAAGCGATTGAAAAACCGGGCCTAAAAGATCTTATGTTACAGGATAAATTCCACAAGATGCAGCAACTGCTGCCGGAGATCCACGAGATCGCCGTTCGGGGGGAGGAGCACCTGTACCACAAGCACTGCAGCGGCGGTGCGCCCACGCAGACACTGCTCATGGAGATGCTGCACGCGAAGCGGAAATAACCTAAGCAGCTGCAGCTTCAGAGCAAACCCCTTCAGAACGACGTCCCCTCCGTTCATCGTTGTTACCATGTCCGATACTACGAGTGTGCAATACCGCCACTGCAGGCCCACATTTTACTGTGTACATAGAAGGAAGATGATTATAGATATTGGCGCACCACTACCAATGCTGTTTGGGAATAAAATCTCGTCATTTCTAGTTTTAAACATTTTTCTCTTCTCTTTCCTGTCGTTGTTAATGGTGGGCGGAGGAACCGGTATGATGGATGGTTCCGAGACCTACGTGTAGGTCTATAATGATAAAGATGTGCGCGAGTTCCAAGAACCGCGGATCCCAACCAAAGATGACTGTTAATCCGGCGCCCTTATCACGCAGAAACGTTAACTCAGTTAGGCGGCACAATTGCTGTCAAATTCTTACAATGTATCAGCAATAACTGCAACTAGATTACTGATCAAAACAAGTGGAATCACATTTTTGAAGTTAGCCTCAGATTCGTTGCGACCAGAGTTCTACCCTTTTATCGAAAAACCAAGTAACTCTAGTTGCTTGGTTTAGGTTTTTCCATTGTTTGCTTTTTCTAAGGCACAACGTTGGTATTCGAAAACTGTAAATCTGATCATTTTTTTCGGAGATATTATCTTAGTATTGTGAAGCTACTAAGAATTGTTTTCAACAGGGTTGCCTCAAGTTTTTTTCATTATCGTTTAAAATCACAAAACCTAGCATGTTAAGTTACCTGAAATTTCGCTTAAGAATTTACTCACTTGTGTTTTTGTATAGTATTATATTTACATACCCGGACAGTAGCGTACTTTTTGCGAGTACTTATCACAGAGAAACAAAACATAGAAATTTTTTCGGGCGAAAGAGAAGGAAAATATATAATTTTGGGGTGCAACAGGTGCCAGGTACAAAATTCAGAATTTTACTGTAATCGTTGCTGTTCAAATGAGTTTCAATTTTTTCACGATAAGGGTGCAGATAAAACGTGAAGAGGAAATAGAATTTCCTAGCTGAAGGCTATTTTCAATAGCCCTGTAACCTCCATGTTCCAATTAGAAGTATGAAGGAGGAAGATGGTGTCCCTTTTTTAGATTTCTTTTCAACTTCCTGTTTGCAGCAGTATTTTAAATCCTTTTAATCTGATAATTTCATGGTGTGTATAGAGATGAGTAAAAAACAATGTTTACATTTTTTTGTCATAAAATGCATTTTTTGTGCATTTTATTGTGCAATCTTTCTTCAATCGGAACTTGTTAACAAATATAAGCACAGTTCTGAAATTATGTGTGAATATTCCTCTTTTATGGAAGAATGAAACGAGTGATAACTTTTGTTCTTATCACTTTTCCTTTTCGAAAAATCGTTGATTTTTCAAGAAAAGCAAAGATTTTACGAAAAGAAAAAGTGATAAGAACAAAAATGCACAAAAAATGCATTTTTTGACAAAAAAAAAGGCGACAACATTGTTTTTTAGTCATCTCTATACACACCATGAAATTATCAGATTAAAAGGATTTAGAATACTGCAGCAAACAGGAAGTTGAAAAAAAAAATTAAAAAAGGGACGTGCCACCTTAATGAAAATGGCATTATGATAAGGACCTCTGGCATCACTAGAAATATAGAGTTTTTGCGTTGGACCTGGAATTTTGGCTTAAGATGAAGCAACTAGAATTTTTAACCAAAGAGAATCACTTCTAAGTGACAACTGTTCATTTTCGGGGATTTAACTTCAATTCAGGATAGGCAGGACGAGTTTTTAGAGTAGTTAGATAACTCTGTTATTAAGCGGTGTCTTTGGAAAGTCAGGGCCTTTATGCACCTCTACATTCCTTAGACCTCAAGCCTCGAAATTCTAGCGAAGTTGAGTATGGGAGTGATGGACCAACAACCTTAGGTTGGCTCTATCCAAAGATAAGCAGAAACGTCCATCCTTAGCGCTGGGCCCTACAATGAGTTCCCGAGCCTGATGGAGATGCCTGGAGATGCTTCTCCATTTCTAAGAGTGTTCTTGCAATCCACATCTCCATTTTCATCATAACTCTTTGCACAGGCACTCCTAAAGCTGGCTCAGGACCAACGAGCTTGTTGGGTGATCCTGTCTTCGTCAGAGCGTCCTCCGTCTCATTGCCCTTTATCCCAGCGTGCCCCGGTACCCACACTAACGATACCGGATGCCTCACTGCTAGACAATCCAAAGCCTCCCTGCATTGCAATACAAGGCTTGAAGTAATCTTACAGGCACTTTGTGCCTTCATTGCAGCCTGGCTGTCGGAGAAGATTGTTATTCTCACTGGAAAATAGTGGTGTATCCACCAAGATTCAGAAAAAGCCCCTAGTTAAAGACCCGGAGACCTCGGAGCCAGGCCTCTTCGGTGACCGAGCCATCCGTGTACCAGACTTGCCCACCAACTCCAGAGAGCCTCCGGCTACCGGTGTCCCACTCCTCCGTCGTTGGATACTGCACATTAAACTTGGGGTTGAAGCGATATTTAGGAGTAATTAGATTACCCCTGCTCAGAAGGACGGGATCCTCTCTTTGCAGTTCGACTAAGATGGCAGTATGTCATACTGCATTTCTCTTCAACAGGGCAATATTGTTGAGTTTTGAAAGCCCTTAACCTGTATAGACCTTTTTAGAGTTGAAACCACAAAAAATAAAAAATGTTGCCTCATACACCTATTAAACTTACATTCACAATAATCCTGATAATAAATCTAACTCTTGATAGTTTTAAACAAAACCTTTCGCCAAAAATTGTATTGACTTACCAGGTCCATACAAGCTCCTAGCACTCTATGGTATTTAATTTTCATCATTTTCGATACATATCATCGGAGGGAAGCATACACTTGATATTAACCACAAAATAAACATGTTCAAGTGCTTTTTGCTTTTCACATATGCATTTACTATATGTGTCAAAATAGAGACATTGGCCTCAAATGAGAAAGACAGAGACTCATCATCAGTCGATTCTGCCCACCACTAACATAATTCGATGCCTTTTACGAAGTACAAAGAGCAACCACATATTTTTTATGAATTTAAGAGCGTCTAGTTGGGGATTTAAGGATCATGGTGTCTCGTCATCAAAGTATATTTTGTTGATTTATTTATGTTATTAATTTTTTATTTAATATATGCGGACTTTCTTTTGTGGTGTTTTGTAGTACGGTTGGCGTTGATATTTTCCTTTGTTTCTTTTTCAATTGCTCCTGGAAAATTTATTGTTGATACTATCTTCCCATCGCATATTGTTTAAAATAATCAAGGGATCTGCATCAAATACGTGCGGTTTACAGGGATTCGATTTAACAGTTTTTGATGTTGCACTTTCAAAAAGGCAAAAAGCAATTTATTAATCATTTTTATTTAATCGATTCATTTATTGGTCAGGTAGAAGGAGATGAACCCTTTTTTGTATAACAAAAATCCTCGACCGTTTCTATAGTTGCAGATCCATCAAATCAAAATTTAAGGGTGCAAATAATTTTATTAGCCATAAGTAGCTCCTTTCCAAATGGTCTATTTGATTGAGTAGGTCATATTGTGATATTTATTGTTAACTATAACTATACCGTTGTTATTTCTATGTGGCTTTGCAACTTGATTAAGGTGGCACGTCCCTTTTTTTAGATTTTTTTCAACTACCTGTTTGTATCGGTATTCTAAATCCTTTTCATCCGATAATTTCATGGTGTGTACAGATATGACTAAAAAACAATGTTTTTATTTTTTTTGTCAAAAAATTCATTTTTTTATTTTATTGTGTATTTTTTACTTCAATCTAAACTTGTTAACAAATATAAGTACATCTCTGAAATTGTGTGTGAATATTCCTCTTTTATGAAAGAATGTAACAAGTGATTACTTTTGTTCTTATTGCTTTTCTTTTTCGAAATAGCAAAGATTGTTCGAAGAGAAGTGATAATAAAAGTAATCACTTGTTTGATTCATCCATAAAAGTGGAATATTCACATACAATTTCAGAGCTGTACTAATATTTGTTAACAAAAGAAAAAATTCACAATAAAATGCACAAAAAATGCATTTCATGACAAAACAAAATTAAAAACGATATTTTTAGTCATTTCTTTACACATCGCAAAGTAATCAGATAAAAAGGATTTAGAATATTGTTGCAAACAGGTACATAGTTGAAAAAAATACGAAAAAAGGGGACGTGTGGCCTTAAAGCAGATAACCTCTGATCAGCACAACTCATAACAAAACTACTTCAAAAATTCATAATTGTTTCCAATGACTCGGCTGTGGAAGCGTCATGCTTCTGAGCTGATGCCCAATAATCGTATGGGTTCAAATTCCTGTGAAAGACACGATAATACAAATGAGGTCAGCTTCCATTTCCTAGTACTTAGATTCACACTGAGGAGCCCCCAGGGTGGCGAAACGATAGTCTGTTGTTATACTAGTTATGCGTTTCCCAAAATATTTTCCTAAGACACAATCTCAAACTAATTTGAATGTGTTTTCTTTCCGTTCCTGTGTCTTGCGACCAACCGTATACGGCGCCGTTTTATAGTTGTTAACAATCATCAGTACGGTATAAAGGTTAACAAAAAGAGCACATTGTGGTCAGACTCGCGTGCCCAAATAGGCGACTCCTGCCAAATAGTTTGCCAAAGCAAAAAACTATAACTATTATATACAGGGTGTTCATTTGAAATTTTCCCACCACGGATTTATCGAAAACCACTGATTGAAAGAAAAAACGCCGAGACACGTCAAAATGTTTGTCAAGGGGGACAACACACGAAAATATCACTTTTTATTTCAATAAATGATCAAAATGTTGCCCGTTAGGGTTTGCAAAATATATAATTCGTTTATAATTTAGAACGGAAACTACCAACATAAACAGCAATTTGGAAGACTAGACGTGGCAACAACCGAATAACAACTCGTGGTGGAAAGTTTTCAATTGAACACCAACTTGAGGAGAAAACCAAGCACATTTTAAAAAAATACATTTTTTTTGTATTATATGCGGTAACTAAAAAGATTGAAGCTTCAATAGTGGTATCAAATTTTGAATGAATATCCGATGCAAAATCCGCGTCGAACATTGTCCGTTTAGCCCAGCCGGACAGTGACTACTTCAGGACTGGACGCCTCAAATTACAAAATCCATTAAGCCGTGAAATAGAATTTTCAAAGTTCGTGCATTAGTTAGTATTCCTCTGTTTCAAGTTCACCAAATTTTAATATCACTCGCATTTTAAGGCAAATCTGAGGAGACTTCATATGTCAAAATCCAACCAGCCATTTAAGTTGTAGGCGGTGAAAAATAAATTTCAAGGCTGGAATTTTCGATTAGAATCAGTCGGTTTGATTTTATAAGGGTTTAACGTACCCAGTATCACCCGCACCGCGACAAATCCAATAACACCTCTTGTATCAAAATACATCATGCCGTTTGGATTGTAGCATGTGATATAAAATTTTCTGTCTTCAACCGTACATACTGACACGCGAAAAACATAACCTTCCTTATGAGATAGATGGTTAAAAATAAAGAATAGATCTGATGTCTTTAGAACACCAATTAATTGATATTGAAAAGATCATTGTGAGGGAACTTTTTAGCACTGAAAATAACTAAATTTTTTAAGTTGACCAAGTATGCGAAATGTTGGCATTGAAATATTTCAACACTTATGTACCGCAATTTTGTCATTTTTGTCCAAAATTCACCCATTTTAACTTATTATATTCCAGTCCGTGTTCGTAAAACTATTTCAAATTTATACTAAAACGTACTGAGATACAAAACGTACAGTACAAGTCAAAACTTGATGTCATCAAATTAAAATTTGACTTAATTTCCAGGACCGAAAAACTCCCTGTACCATGATCTTTTTGCTGATCATGTCCATTTACTTTATATCCAGCTGCAAAGCCATTTCCATATATCTATTTTTGGAGCTTCATCATGAAAGAGTACCAAACGAAAACGAACGATTTGAATGGAACGAAAATCGTCAAGGCCAACAAAATTTCGAATTCTGCATAATGTTAACTTTTGAATTGTTTATTGCGTGACAACACATTCCAATGTGCTCCCAAGGGATTCATGGGCATCCTAGAATAGGCTAGGTATTTTTTTCTTCTCTTTTTTTTAGCTTGAGACATATGCGAGTATGAGTCCGTGTGATTGGTCGAAAGAATGGTGCAATGAGTGTTCACAGCACTAAAAAACAAGTGTTTATCTCTTAGTACTCTTAGCTTAACTCTGGTGATGGACTAACAGCTGTAACTTTGTAATTAATTTTAAATTACTGTATCTAGTATGGTTAAGTTTAAGTATGATAATTGTTATGTATTACAACTGTTAAGAGATGACTAGACATCGTGGCCTCCTTATTGTACACTACGCGTCAACATTGGGGCAATGGCTGTGAAATCGTTGGAAAAACGTACTTTTTGCAATGACTTGAGCTGGGAGTTTAACGAACCCATTCCTTCCAGGAGTTCATAGAACTCATGATCGAACATAAAAGGGTAAACTTATTGCAAAAAACAAAGCTCTGGCTGAAATGCAGCATATACTTGAATTTCTGCACAATGTTACAGAAATTTACTAATTGGAAGCTGCTAAAAAATATATATAACAAAGAGCTAGTTAGCATCACTTTATTTTCGGTATTTTGCACTGTGATATTTATTTTGTTATCGTGAGACATGTAATTTTATAAAGGAATATTCGAACATATTGACAATATGGGAGATTAAAAAAGATACACTTTCTTAGTAATGCAGAGACGGGTTCAAAACTTTATACAAACTATTGCTTCCCAAATGAAAAATTAATTTTTCATAACTCAATGGGGATTTGCAAAAAAAATATCAGCGAAATATTATTTTGCCCCCAAAATATATTATGAGTAACGTAAAATTTCGCGATAAAGTTCTCTCACTACACGCCATATCCTTGAAATGTGACTCCGTTTCTGCCAAATGTGAGGAAGATTCATCATTGAAATAGATGTTGCACCAATTTTTGACGCGTAGAGTTTATTATGTTTTTGAAAGTGGTAAATGATAATATGGCAGAAACTGAAGTGGTCTATTCGGACGAAACGATAATGATTTGCATGTCTGCGATGCTACAAATCAAAATATTTCCTTATCATAGATTCTCTTTGGGATGGTTATAAGGAGTTGGGTACGATGGAACAGCTGGTGCTTGTAGAACAATAAGGGTATAATGGACGAATGGCATAATTATTTTTGTTAATATATTGATAGTTGTTAT